AGTGTCCTGGATTTTGGATTTTTCCCCTGGATTTTGGAACACTTGTTGCTGCCAATGCATAATGAGATACCCTGGAAACAGGCCCAAGTCTATTTGTGAAATTCATTCATGTTTCCCATGCACTTGATACATATAATCTGAATGGAATTATACACAATATTTTAAATAATTTGTGCATAACACAAAGTTTGTGTGCTCTGAACTATCACAAAGCAAATATATCTCAGTTGCCTTTGTGGACAATTGCAGATCTTGGAGTATTTTGGATTTCGGAATTCCAGGTAAGGAATGCTCAACCTGTAGTTGGATTATCTGAGAATTAAACAGTGGACTTTGGTTGGCATGTTACCAGCATCCCGTCCTCAATACACGGGGAGAGGAAAATAAGAAATCGTCACCATCACCACAATTATCCCCATCCCACTGCTTGTGACTAGAAAGATGTTTAAATCCCTCTCAAATCTATGAATGAACTTTACTAGACACTGAAGAGACAGGGGAGGGACAGAAGATCATATATACCAAGATCAGAACCATCCAATATAGATCACATGTGTCAAACTCAAGGCTTGCAAACTGAATCCAGCTCACCGTGTCATTTTATATGGCCACACAGATGCTGGACAATAATTCCTGTATTTCTTATCATTAAACATCATGATTGGCTCTGATGGGTGTTGTGATACAGTAACATCTGGAGGAATGCAGTCTGTTCTGTATAGTCAGGAGAGTGGGGTTTGAATTTAAACACAAGGTTTGTGCATATGATGTCTGACTTTAAATGTCCTTTAACATTTTCCCAACCTCAGAACCACAAGTGCTGTTGGGCTGCACCAATTTGCATGGTGGATAATTCAAAGTGATGGAAGTAGTTGTTCAGTAACATCTGAAGACCCAAATCAGATAAAAATTAAAGAGCACTGACCATTGTGTTTAAGAGTTATAGTTAGCCCTCTGTATCCATGGATTCTCCACCCATGGATTCAACGGCTCTTTGTAGGCAACCATAAGGCTGATGTAGCCCTCGATGAAAATGAGTGACACCCCGATATAGATTTATTTATTTACTGTATTTGTATACCGCCTTTCTCAGCCTCTCGGCGACTCAAGGCAGTTTACAATAAATCAGTATCATAATACAGGTTAAAAACATTAAAGCAATATAAAATACAACAGAAGCAATAAAAACATCTTAAGCGTCTCCTTATTATAAAAACATTGTCCAATTCCATCGTCTAGTCATTCAATTTCCTAAGCCAGTTACTCTGCATTTGTAAACGCTTGCTCAAACAACCATGTTTTAACTTTTCTCCAAAATATTAAGAGGGAGGGAGCCGATCTGATCTCCCTAGGGTGGGCATTCCATAGCGGAGGGGCCACCACTGAGAAGGTCCTATCTCTCGTCCCCACCAACCATACTTGTGATGGAGGCGGGATCGAGAGCAGGGCCTCCCCAGACGATCTTAAGGTCCTAGATGATTCATAAGGGGAGATACGTTCGGACAGGTAGATTGTGCCAGAACCAATTAGGGCTTTGTAGGGTAAAGCCAGGATTTTGAATTGTGCCCAGTAGCAGATTGACAGCCATTGGAGCTGCTGCAGCAAAGGAATTGTATGCTCCCTGAGCTCCTGTTAACAATCTGGCTGCTGTCCGTTGGACCATTTGAAGCTTCCGGACAGTTTTCAAAGGCAGCCCCACGTAGAGTGCATTGCAGTAGTCTATACAGGATGTAACCAGAGCGTGGACTAGTGTGGCCAAGTCAGATTTCCCAAGGTATTAATCCATACAATCAAGATTCCTCAAGTAGAGAGTGCAGAAACATTTTAAATTCTAGATAATAATTTCCATTCAGCTGGGAGTGATGAAACAGAGACACAACAAGAGTGAGGGGTGCTAGCATATCCCTAGGCCTAGAAATGAGTCATCAAAAATTGCAATTGCTACCTACTGGCCAAGATGCTTAATCTGTGGCTGTGCCATTTAATTTCATTTCCATACAGATAAATTGAGATGACACGTAGTACATTCACTAAAAAGAGTCAGCTGGGTTAACTATTCCATTTTTACTTGGTATTTTGCCATTTATATATGACTAATGACAATAATAGTTCCTCTTACCTCTACCCACAGAAAAACAATTTAAAAGTGTGTCACAACATTATTCTGTAGATGGGCACTGGCATTTTGTGATGCTAATCTAAAGAGCAGCAATTAATCTCTAAATATTGTACAACTTTCACATTGACCTATATAAATGCTCACAGGACTTTAATTAAACATGAATTTAACACATACATGTATTAAGTTTGCCCTCACATAGCACTACTATGCAATATCTTAAAAATAGCAAAATAATCATTTAAAGTTGAATTAGCATTTAAGCACCATTAGTTTAAAGGCCTTAAATATGATTAGGTCTGGATGTGGCCCATAATGTCATTTACAATGATTTACAATTTTACAGTCATTTACAATTTTTATACATAATCTCTCCAAAGTGATAAAATAAAATAAAACCAATGAAACAGAATAAAACAAAGTTGGATGAAAGCTTGAAAATGCCAGATAAAGCTGCATTAAATGGGGGTGGATGACAGGGCTGTTCTATTACTATTATTCTCCCATTTACAACATCAGGAATGACCAAATTCATTATTCATGGGGATCACTCCATTAGGATCTGAACAACTGAATACTGAGTCTCAGAGAAACCACAGATGCCTCGAAAGAGTAGCATGTCTATTGTAGGATTTCAGTTTCATTATGTTAGAAGGTTTATGTCAGGAACATGGAAATTGCCTTATATGAAGTGAAACTATTGATCCATTGATCTCAGAAACCTGATACCTTGAATCTTTGCAATGAAAAGTCCAGTTCTGGTTTACATTCTTGCCATATGAACCAGGAAGTGAACAGAAAGATACCATATATACTCGAGTATAAGCCAATCCAAATATAAGCTGAGGCACCCAATTTTACTACCAAAACTGGGAAAATGTATTGACTCGAGTATAAGTCAAGGGAGGGAAATGCAGCAGTTACTGATAAATTTCAAAATAAAAATAGATACCAGTAAAATTAAATAAATTGAAGTATCGGTAGGTTAAATGTTTTTGAATATTGATATAAAACTAATTTAAGATAAGACTGTCCAACTCTGATTAAACCATTATTCTAACCTTCTTCAATGTGAATGTGCTTATATATCCTTCTAAAAATAATAAAGAGAGTAAAATAATGAAAATGTAATAACAGTAATAATAGAATAAAATAATAAAGGTAATAATCTATATAAATAAAAATGTAATGTTAGTTTGTGGGATTAACATAACTCAAAAACCACTGGATGAATTGACACCAAATTTGGACAAAATATACCTATCAGGCCAACAAATGACCATTACTCATAAAAACACTGAAAAACACAACAGAAGGGACTTAAAAGCAAAAAAAATTAAGAAAATACATTACAATGCATGTGCAGAACCACATATACACACATATATACAAATATGTACACGCATACACACACAAAACACATATACACAAACTGGGTCCCAGCAATGCATGGCAGGGGACAGCGAGTAATAATAATAAATAGAGTAAAATAATAAATGTAATAATGACCATAATATTAAATAGAATAAAATAATAAATGTAATAATAATAAAGAGTAAAATAATACATGTAAAAATAATAATAAAGTAAAATAATAGGGGGGCCTTTCTCAGGCTAAAAAAGGGCTGAAAAACGTGGCTTATACTCGAGTATATATGGTACTTCCAACTGGGGATGGATGGTTTCAAAACACTGGATGCTAGAACAAAGTGCCACAAGTTCCCATACCTTGCACTGGAGGAGAAATATTGCTCCTTAAGACTCCCAAGAACAGCTATTCTTGTTTTAAGCAATAGTAAATAGGGTTTAAAAAGACCCCAGAGGCCAGGAAACTGACCTTGGAGACCACATGCAGCCTAACAGCTAGATGACTGCCATCCCTAGTCCTCATTTGCCATATTTATATATAAAGCAGGGCTCCAGTTTCAAGTTAAAAGGGAAATATAATAAATCTTCTTTCTCTGCTTATTCTCGATAGACTCTTCATTAAAATTCAATTCTGGGAAAGCATTTGTTCTGACAGTATTTACTAATTCCACGAAAAATAAAATGTGATAAAAAAATCCTCCAAAACATTTGTCTCTTCTGTTCAAATGGGCAATAGTTGAAATTTGTTTGATGTAAGTCAGATTAATTGTTATGTTCCTGAACTATATACAATGAAATTCTAGCCTTTTTATCACCCGTATTTTCTTTAGTTGGTCTCACCTTCCAAAAAAAAAGTTCTACCCTTTCTAATATCACCAGTAAATATATTATTTTTCTGTAACTATGCTTATGAATGTGGTCATGGTAGGAGCACTCTTCAGATTTCTGCTATGTGTAAATAGCTAACAGTTCTAAACAAAGAATCATAAAAGACCTTTTACTTCTGAATATTCCTGAAAATAAATTAAAAGCTGTTTCCCAATATTTTGGATCATCCTTGAAAACTTCACTTCATAATCTGAAACTTGGAAAAACTTGGAAAAAAGCATTCCATAAGCATATTTCACAGGAACATTGTACCCTTTCTACTAGTAATAATTTATGCACCTGTCAATAACAGAGTACACTGGAGTTATTTGTGTCTCTGACATTTCACGTCTCTTATGTTGACATCTTCAATGCAGGACAAGGATAGGCATTGACTTTTTAGAAGTCACAGAATGTAATGTCATTATCATAAGTGTTTCTAGTTTTCAAGGTCATCTTTATTAAAAACAAAACAAAACATGAATCTTTACACTGCAATTGTCACCAAAGAACTTCAGGTTGATTCCCACAGGTATGGAACCAAGTAAACAGTTTATCTATCAGAGAGTCACATCTAAAGCTTAATTAATGTTCTCATAATAAAAATGAAAAGAAGCCCAAAAAATAATCCAGAAAGTTACGGTACCTTTCGATCCGTCCAAGGTCTTCACCTTCTGACATTCCTAAAGAGTTTTTTGAAATCATTAATCCAGTGCCCAAGAGAGCTTTGTCAATCTTCTTGAGTTTAAAGAAATCCAGTCTATGACTCTCCTTTGTAGGATCCTGCTAAGCCTTTCTGGTACAGGGTATATTTACATACATACCAAGTGCCTGCTTGCCTTGAATGAAGCTCACAGAGTACTGTTTTGATTGGCTAATTCTACAAATAAACAGGTCACACCTTATTCCAAACACTGTGATGGGCTGTTAGGCAGCAGGCACAGTCCAGAAGCCAACATTTCTATGGTCACATGAGAAGGAAACACCACCCAGCTATTAACCTTTATTTGCTTGACTAGCTTGGAGCCTTCTCTTCTGTCAGCTTTGCCTTCCAGCTCATTATCCCTATAAGGGAACAAGTAGCAATTTATATTTATCATCTTTTTTGTGCAGTGCATGATGCAACTCCAAATATGTTTATAGTTAACTTAGATTTTGCTGGCTGTCTCTCTAAGTCACACTATTGGCTAACAGCTGTTTTCTCTTTCAGCTGGTCTCTTATAATCCGGTGTGGTCGCAAGAGAGGCGTAGTACACTAGGAAAAATGAATGGAAGGTTCTAATTTTTTTCCAAGTAAAAACAGTTTCCTTCTTGCAACAGTAACACGTGAGTGTTTCTACTGAATTCCCCTAACATGGTGGTTTTTTCAGCAAGTATCTGACAAATCATCCCATTGTAGCAAGACAAATACCTCTCTCCACAGAAAACAGATGCAACAGTTGTAAGGAAACTTCAGAAACAACTGGCTACTTGGCAAGTTTGAAATACTCATCCAATTGGGTAGATGGAAGAAATAAGAACATTTAATATGAAGGGGAAAATATATTAAGATATTATTTTAGGGAAAATTATTGAAATACAGTGAGATTACTCTAGGTTAGAAGGGGAAATGAGGGGGGGGGCAATGAGATGGGACATAAATGATGAAATTATAAGAACTGAATTTTCGTAAAATGTTAAAATTGTTTGTATTAATGTCACCTGTGGGTGGTCATTAATTTTAACTGCATTTGCTTATATTTAGCAGAAGCATCCTATAACATTTTGATAAATGCCTTGGCTTGAGGGACAAAAAGTCAATTGTGCTTTTACTGTCTTTTATGCCTTTATTTATTTCATTTGCATTTCCATAAAGGGTGGGGCTACAGGGGTGGGTATTTTCAGTTGTACATCCTGATAACTTAGCTAAGGCTAAAGCATGTGTCTCCATAGCCATATACTTCTAAGACCCCTTTTAGACTGTCATATAATCCAGATAACCTACATTATCTGCTTTAATGTATTGTCGAAGGCTTTCGTGGCTGGAATCACTAGGTTCTTGTGGGTTTTTTCGGGCTATAGTGCCATGTTCTAGAGGCATTTCTCCTGACGTTTCGCCTGCATCTATGGCAAGCATCCTCAGAGGTTGAGAAGGTCTGCTTTGAAGTTAATTATATAAGTCCACACTTCCATATAATCCAGTTTAAAATTTGGATTTTATATGGCAGTGTAGAAGGAACCTAAGTTTATCAGAAACACCTTAGTCTTTAAAAAATGCCCTCATCTAGTGCTTTACTGATGACAAGTACTGGTCTAAAAGTGAAACATCTTTCTTGGATTAAGATGGAATGAAATGATGACATCAAAGCCCAGAATTTGAGATATCTTCTCCCCTCAGCTGGGACAACATCACGCACTCCAGTACCTAGCTTAGATAAAACATGTTGCAAACTGTTCAATGGGACCCAGAAAGGGCTTTTTAAGCAACCTATCCCTTTCAAGCACGATGAAATCCTGCCTTGTTTTAGCAGCCCACTGACCACACGTTTTCTTAATAAACCAGAAGGGTCAAAGGTCTCCTACACATGGAGACCTTCTCTCTAAGAATCTGGTCCACATCCCCTGGCTGTACTAACATATTAATTGCCACTGAACAAGCTAGGGCAAAAGGTATATTCATTAGATCTATATTATTTATAGCGGCCAAGTAAAAGTAGATTTGAATAATTGTATATGCAATGAACTAGGTGAATTGTTCACAGTAGGCTGCTGAATAATCCGTTTTGTTTTTCTGTGGACCAGTTCATACAAGACAACTTACTACTTGAACCAGCTCCACTGGGAAAGGGTTGCAGAAGTAACACTGACAGAAATGCAACACAGGTTTTATTGTGTCCACCATTACTTCATTCCAGAAGCAAACCAGAGCTTTGACAGGAAATTTCCAAAGAGTCTCCAGGAAACCATCCAGATCTATCAACCTCCTGGGACAGGTCATCTTAACTAGTCCCCCATAGCTGCAGATGTTGTCAGCCCCAACAAATTCAGATTAAAGAAGGAGCTAAGCATATTTACTGGTATTAGATGGGAGGAAACATATATGTTGTATGGTACTGACAAGAAATTAGGACATGCTTCAGATCAGTGGTTCCTAACAATTCCTAACAGCTGGTAAACTGGCTGGGATTTCTGGGAGCTGAAGTTCAAAATACTTGGAGGAAAAGAGTTTGAGAAACACTGCTCTAGGTGTTGAGGACCCACATTTCAAAACCAGATCTGACACACTTGGGATGCAAACCTTTGGTTTTACTGAGTGGATTAGTCTAGCTAAACCAAATGAAGTTTCCAGGTAAGAAAATGTGGTCTATAAAATGGTTTAAGGAAATTTTCAAGTTCCTTAAAAGCTGATTCCTTTGTTCTTGCCATTTCCTAACACATCTGCACTTCCTCATATCAATTTAGACATTAAATTGATTCTTTTACTCTGTATCTAAAGGATTAGAACTCCTAGGAGTATAAGAACTATACTCCTTCCATTCTGACACCTAACTACTTTCAATACACTTTAGTAAATCTTCTGACGATTCAAAAGACTGCATTATAGCTATTACTTTTGAGATTTGATTAATTTTTTTACTGAAGCTAGGAAGAATAATAGCAAACACTCATTCTTAAAAATGTATTTTGCAACACAGTTGACTCTGTAGCTCCTCACGTCTGAGTGGCTCTTGTGAAATATGTTTACAGTGTAGGAAATACGGAACTCACATCTCTCTTGAGCTCATCTCATATTTATACTACACTATAAATATGTAGCGTTTATATTGTGTGAAACAAGCAAACCTTTTTAATCCTATGTCAACAACACAATAATATTTACTTCAATACTTTGGGGGAGAAACTTTTATTAAAAAATAATTCACAAACAAATCCATGTTATAGAAACTCTAAAACCATGAAAATATTTGAAATGTCATGCAATATGCTTTATGTTGTCTCTCCTAGTCATGCACTTCTGAAATGCTACAACTGAGCATAAACAAATTAAATAAAAATATTGGCCAAGTCTATGGTACAAGTTCTATAAAAACCAATATTATTAGAAGGAACTGGCAACACAAAATTGTTATACTACTATCATTATCTAACTGTAGAACTTGTAGAATGACATAACACCGTTCTTATGTTTTAAAAAATGGTGTGGACAATTACATCCCACAAACTATTATTGCAATCTGTGCTTTCTACAGTTGGATACTCACTTCAGTGATCAACAACATGCCAAAAATATATAGTACTTAAATGATAAACATACAATACTTGATGGAAGTGTTTTGTACTAAAATATATCATTAAGTATAATACCATTCTCACAGGTATTTTATTTTTATTACTTTCTTGGAAAAAAATCTTAACCACAAACCCAAATGGATTTTAGTCATAGTTTCTGTAGATGGAGAATTAAACAAATCAGGGGAAAATTCTAGTTCGTTCCTGAACCATAATTTAAGTAAATCACAGTTCTCCAAGTTCAGATGTTATGGAAAACTACAGTTTTTTAAAAAGTGAAAGCATTAATGTTAATCTCTTCCCATGAAAAGGAAGCAGGATAGGAGCACATGACTCTAACACTATACAAATTCCATTTCACAATCCAAGGACCGGTAGTTTCCTTTTAAATCTAAACTAAACCATCTGTTAAAGGTTCTTCTACAGTAATAGATCAGGATTATAGATCATTATATGCTTATTAAACACCATTAGGTTTGCCAGTCCTGTTATGACAATAGGAGCTCTTTGCACACCTAGCAAAAGCAATTACAGAACAGAAACAACTCGTACATGTCCTCCACAATGGATTGGGACATGCATGCTTATAGTTGCTTTGAGTCTATTCAGTTAAATCATAATCTATTGCTTTAATACATTTTGGCTTTACAAACCCACTTTGATAGCATCAGAATGAAAAATCTTTTATTATGCATCTTATCAGAAAAGAATTCCACCTCCAAGTATCGGCAGTTTAATCATGTAGACCTTTGGTCATATGTCTATTTCCTACATCTCTCTTCCTGAGAGCCCCTGGTGGTGCAATGGGTTAAACCCTTGTGCTGGCAGGACTGCTGACTGACAGGTCAGTGGTTCAAATTCAGGGAGAGCAGGTTGAGCTCCCTCTGTCAGCTCCAGCTCCCTATGTGGGGACATGAGAGAAGCTCTCTTCCTGTGCCTATATGTTGAATGGCCAGTGGGTGGGGCACATGTTCTCCTCTATCTCTGTACATGTCTTCACAAACAGCTGTGCTCTCCAAGCAGGACAGAAACAAGTATAGTGCTTGCATAGCAGCCTCACTTCCACATTTGTATATACTAAGTGTGATTGGTCATGCAAGTGGCCTAGTTTCAAAGTACGCTGCACGATAAAGATCATTTCATGAAACAATAACATTGTCGGAAATTGTTTCATTCTCAATCTTGTTCTGCCTCAAATCAAAAACTCATCTGAGACTATTTAATTTCCTGCTCTTTGGTCTGTGCCCTCCAGCAGGTAGAAAAGAAGGCACAGGCTTGTCTATCTACCAAGCTGGTCAAGGGTTCTTTTATCCTATAAGAATATTGACCCTGATCATCTGTTCTGGTTTTCTCTTGCACTACTATGATTCTCCCTAAGATTGCATTGGCACTGAATCATAACTGAATTTTCTTAACTGACTCTACCTCCTTAACTGCTCCCATTTTGTCTTGCTTCCTGATGAATAGTGGCTTAGTGTCCCTAAACAAGACTTAGATACAGCAATAGAAATAATTAAGGAGTCATTAAAAATAGAGAAAACATGACTTTTTCATAGTTTTGTGGAAAGGGGAAAATGTACATTTCTTACAGCAAAAGCAGTCGAGCTTAGATTTGTGGCATCTACTTTGTTTTCCTTGGAAGCCAGATATTGAAATGATTCATTTTAGAGACCAGTGGATATACGGGCTCAGCAGAGGAGTTTTGTTCTAATAGAGCCAGATTTCAAGTACTTTCATGTGTCCTTTGAGAGATATTTTATCAGCAACCTAGGTGAAGTGTGGAAGAGAGTCGTTTTCACTGCTGTACAAACTGCTGTAAGTTA